TGCGGCACCCAGACACAGCCTGGCTGGGGAGCCTGTGGCAGAGGAGGTGGGACTGGCTTGGGGGGAGGGGGAGTGGGAAACAGGAGTCTGGGATGATCCCAGGTTCCCAGCCAGAAGCCTTGGTGGAAGGATAGAAGTCTTGGCTATCTTTGGAGCTGGAGCCCACAAGAGGAGCAAGAGGAACATGCTGGAACGATGTGGAAGGCGATGAATTCTGATTTTGTGAAATCAGTTGGAGGCACCAGCACACATCCCATGGGTATTAACACTGGGCCCTGGAGAACAAGGGAGAGGGCCGGCCTTGGAGCCTTCGGCACAGAGCTGCAGGTCCTAGCAATGGTGGGACAAGAGCAGCAGCAAGGGCATCCAGTGAAGGGCCAGGTGGCATTGAGAGGATCCCACAGGCAAGGCAGAGCTCAGGGAGGCATTGGAGAGGCTGAACGGGAGACAGTCCAGATCACAGAGGACCCAAAAAGGAGAGGGGTGAAATAGAGGACACGGCAGTACCAAACACCGCAGTGAAGTCAAATAGGATAAATCCTAAACCGTGGCCTGAATGATATCACAGAACTTTCTTCCCCATTTACATAATGGATGAGCAAAAATACCCAAATATCAGGGAAAAGATTACCAATGGTGATTGATAACCAATGAAAGGGGAGGGTGTGTAACTGGTTCCCATGGGCCAGACAGAGGCCATAGGGAAGGAGAGCTGCTGTCCAAGCTGTTTAAAGTCCTGTCCAAGAGGGTGCCCTGGAGACAGGGAATCCCAGCTGATAGAAGCGGGAGCAGAACCTGGCCACGTCTGAGAAGCAGCCCAGCCTGGGGACCTTTGGCCAAGATTGAAGAATCGTGACTGAAACCCAGCGAGGCAGAAGAGGGCAGTCAGGGAAGGGCACATTCGAGTTATCTGCAAGTGAAAGGTCAGCTTTCAGTACGTGCGTGCGGAGCCTGAAAAGCTCCCATATCAGCTCAGAACTTTTCAGCCCCTTCTTCTCCCGGTGTAGCCCCTTCCCCCAAGGGCCAGAGGCAGCTGGGTGAGGGCGGAAAAGCAAAAACTCCCAATAGCAAATAGAGAAGATACTCTTCTTTCCCCTGCAGCCTCCCTGCCTGCACAGCTCCAAGTAGGAAAGGGAAGGAAATCCAGCGTTCAAGAAAACGGACATTCCAATACTGAAATAAGATTGTTTATTACATAGTAAGTGATTAGAGAACTTTGTATATCTTGTCATGACCCTGAAAGTCAATGGCATCTGTGAGAGATTTCATCCCAAAAGGAAGAGACGAGCCAGGCCCACAGAGAGGATTTGAAGAGGCATCAAGAGAAGGAATCGAGTTGCTTTCTGATTCTATCCTGCAAATTCTGCTTGTTCAACAGGAGTTGCACAGAGCAATAGAAAAAGACAAAAAAAAAAACAAGAAAAGAAAAAGAAAGAAAGGCTTTGCCAAAAAAGAAAAACAGAGAGGAGTATTCTAGTGAAGTTAAAATTGCAGATACATAGAATGCCCCTGGTCTGGTACAATATACAGACATGCAGGGCCTTTGGGGACACACAAAGGGACCACTGAATAGCCCAAAGACTTTTTTGCCCTTAATGTTTGAATTACTATCTTTTATCAATAACACTTACATCTACTCTCTCTACTCAAAACAGAAATCATCCATTAATAGTTGCTATTAAAATATCTGATCTTACTGTGAACACCACTAGAAGCTTTGGTGAAAGGCAGAGGAAAAAATGATATAGAGAAGTCCAAGGAAAATACTGAGTTGGAGAAGTGGAATGCTGGGGCCAAAATCAGAAAATGAGAGAATGAGACAGAGACAGGGACTCAAAGAGAGGAGACCCAGCAAGACAATGAAGATGCCCAGCCAGCACTGACAAAAACTCACATGGATGGTGAACATTTATGAGAGACTCTTCATACATAGTGTCTCTAATCTTGACAACAACCCTGGCTATAGTGAGGCCATATAATGGATGAGGATGTAGGTTTTGCACTTGGAAAGGTGCCTGGCATGTTATGAGCAATCAACATAAATTACATACTATCCTTAGACAAGAGCTACTATTATATCATTTTATAGATGAGAGAATTGAGACTTAGAATGGGTAAGTAAATTACTAGGCATCATTTACTAAGTAAAGGATGAAAGCAGGATTTCAACCCAGGAATCTGACTGCAGGGTCCTCGCTCCTAAGCCCTAACCCAGGCAAGGCTTTGACACTCAGCCATCTCCCCTCCCCACCTCTCCCATCTGAGACCCAGCCCCCTAAGAAGCCTGTTCTGTGTTTCATCTCAGTAGTGCTTGCTGCCAGCCAGCTGCCCACCAAACCCTAAGCCAAAGGAGAGGCTGGCATCTGGGATATTAAACATAACATTGCCTGGAGTGTTGATGACGTTTAGAGACCTTTTCAGAAGACTGAAAAGATGATGGACAAATTGTGTCCATTGAGTGATAGACTTTCATTCAGTGCCAACTTCTTGAGCAAGAAGTAGGAGAGAGAGGAAGATGAAAACAGCTAGTAGAAATCACTGCATCTTTTGACATCATTGTCACAAATAACTACCTTCTCTACATCTAGATTGCTAGCTTTGGTCCAGAGCCAAACAGCAGGTGGAGCTGGCTATCCTGAGATGGGTGTGGGAACTGCTTCTCAACAGCTTTGGGGAGATAGAGCTCATGAAGTATGGATTAGAGAGGAAAATATTATGAGTAGAGGAGAGTGGACTACACCAAGACTATGGCTCTAACACCAATCATCTCAGTGACGGGCTTACATTCTGGCACATCTGCCCGTTTCATTTAGGTTCATTTGGGTTTTAACTGAATATGGCTTTCTTCATCCTGGGGAATAGCACATAAACCCTGTATGGGGATTTTCCTTCCTCCCCAATCCCTCTTCTTTGCTCTGCCCCATCCTCTCCCAGCACCAGCTCATGCTCATCTGTTAACCCACAAGGGGGGTTCAGTGTTGCTTGCTGCACAGAAAGCCAATTACTGAGACAGTGAGGATTGTTAAGGAGGAAATTATTTCTGTGGCTGCATCAACAGGGAGGGAGAGGTTATGAATTGCCTCAAATCCACCTTCCCAACCAACAGGATGGGGGGGGGGGTCTGCAGGCAAAATAAATAATGCATGAGGGGTGTGAGCATCATTGTGTGTTTAGGGCAGAGCGAAGGCCATGCAAGCACAGTGTGAAATCATGCTGGTTGGTACATATGTCCTATCATCCAAAAATGGCAGATAAGTCCCTCCAAGGTGGGGATTTTAGTATTACAATGAGCTAGGGGTTAATATTGGTCGTTCTTTCAGCCTCGTGCGCAGTCTCAGTGGGTCTTCAGGCACTGTCCCTGGTGGAGTGTCGCTTATCTTGTCCTCTCCGGACACACGGGTGGTGTGAGGCTTTGTAGAAGGTTCCGCTGTTCCTGGGAAAGAACCTCAAAAGAGAGTGCATCAGTACAAGAGAAAATTACAAAGTTATGGCCAGAAAATTTTACTGAAGAGTAGTTCTCTGTCTACTTTCTGCCTAATTTTGAGACTGTAGCTGCTAAGCTACCAGGGCTGTGATAAATCTTGCTGTCAAGGCCACGTGGAGCTGCCGGCCCCTGCCATTATGTGAACACTGAGAACTCATTTGAAATATGAGGGAACTAAAAACATGATTGAGAAAACATTCTCTTGATTATAGAATCAGTTACCCATCCACCCAGCAAACACTTGTTGGACTGAAATGAACTCAAGGTCTCGGGTTGGCCCAGTGGCACAAGGGCCAAAGCCATATTTCCAACAACCACCCAAGAGGCCCTACTGTAACCACTCAACTGCCCCAGACTTAATCTCGTGTGCTCTAGCACAAACCTGTTCTTTTCCTCAGGTCCCTCTAACAGTAACCCTACCATCTTGAAGCCTGAGAGCCATCTTCAATTCTTCCTTCTCCTTTATTTTCCTGCACAGAGTCAGTAACCTAGTCTCCCGAATCTGCCCCTCTGACGAGGTTTCTCCTATGGGTGCCCTGACAGCACCACCGGCTCCCTTCAGATAGGGAGATTTTTATAATTTCTTTGAAACAGACTGATTCTACCTTCACTTGTACAGCCCCATCTCCCAATCCAATCTCCCTTTCACTGTCAGAAATATCTGTCAACACTTAGACACAACCATATCACAGTTTTAATCGAAAGTGATCACTTGTGATCCATCTGTGATGATGGCCAAGAACAAACCTCCTAGACCTGAGTGCAGGCGCTGTGTGTGTGAACCCCTCACCTTTCCCACACCAGCCTCCCACCACCGCCCCGGAGGCGTCCCTATTCCAACCACAAAGACCCACTGGCCGGGCTTCGAAATGGCAAAGAAGGGCCTGTCTGAGAGGCAAACCTCTCTGCTCCAAGACAGGACCTGGGGTGAACCCAACTGGTCAGGAGCATTCAGGAGCATTAGACGGAATTTTTTACAATACACAGCATTTGCCTTGGATATCGAGCAGTAGTATGCTCCCTGATTGAAAAAATATATATATATCACAGAGCCCAAAAATTAATGAATTAATTCAAGGACATTGAGAAAAAGAGCTAAAATAATCCTCAGACTTGGGCCAGAGAATGTGGGGTGATAAGAAGAGGCTTCAGAATCTCAGATTAGGAAAAAGGAGGAGAGGAAGTTAAAACAGCTGTGATCGATCCAGGGCTGCTTTCCTAGAAAGATGGGGAAGGGGCAAGTTCAGAGGAGTTAAACTTCAGGAGCTGGGGGAGGAGGTGGAGACCAAGGGTCAGCAGTGAGCCAGCTTTTCTGCTCCTAGCGACAATGAGCCTCCAATCGCCAGGGTTCCGGAGTCTTCACTGCAGCCTCATTTCACCAGTGTGATTTGGAGGGACCCTGGGAGGCGGTGGGACAGCCAAGGGCGTGATTAGCCATGGCTCTCTATTCTCATGACAAGGGCTGGAATTGAGCTGGGAGCTCTGGAGTCACACAACAATCGCTACTCGATGATGCTGTGATGAGGTCACAGGTGATGCTGGTCCCTGCCCCCAGCCCAGCTTCCTCACAGCACAGCAAAGGAACCGGAGGGAAAATCCACCTTCCCGGCACAGCCGTACCATCCACCTCACTCACTCGACTACTTGTCAAGTTCGTTACCAACACAAAGGGGTGAGTTGCATTTGGACAACTGGAAATGGCCACTCTTTTATGGCTCCTGCCCTGGGAGTGACCTGCAGCACCCTAGCCACTGAGCAGGGATGGGAAGGTTATATTTGAGTGCAAGTTTTCTGTCAATTTCAGTAGCAAGAACTGGGGTGTGTTTCACCTTGGAAAAGACTTTTAACAACTTTAGAGTCCAGTTTAATCATCTGCCTCCCTGGAGAGTCAAACTGATTTTAAAATTCAATTAGAGGTTCTATTTTTATGTTATTAAAGGAAATCAAAGGTGTGCCAATTAGATCCAACTTGAAGTATTGTCAGGGACTAAAAGGACCTGCCCATATCTAGAAGTTAAACTGTCCATACAGAAAGATCTAGCTCAGAGCAAAACTCAACAGAGGAGAAAAAGAATTCCCTTCTGAAAGTCATATTTTGTGGCTCTAGCATTCATATTTTCAGAGCAATTAAAATTTCCCAGTTCATCTCTTCCTCTCCTGGTTTCTCCCCTTGCATCATCTGGCAGAATGCAGACAGAGATGATGGAGGGGCAGTTGTAGAGAAGTCCATGGGAACTCAGTCATGGCAGGGATCCAGTTACCCTCCGTTTCCAAGTCCTTGAGTGAAGAATGCAATTCTCAAGGCTTGGGGGACTTAGGTAGGACACAGGACTGAAAGTGTCCTGGGTCCCTAAGTCTGCTAATATACCTCCCATCTATCTCCAGAGAGGTAGTGACCAGAGGCAAGTGACCTTAAAGGAGTTCATTGAAACCTTTGGATGCCTCAAGCAGTCTGACTAAACTTAAAGACTTCTTGAAATATTGTTTTTGTATAAAATAAATGAAACATATGGAGTGACAGAAGATGCCAACCATACTGTGGTTCCAATGGTCAGGAGTGTGGAGGAGGCCCCCTGGGTTAAGAACTCCTGCTAGAGTCTACAGAATGCAAAATAGGGATATGTGATGAGAGAACAGAGTAAGAACAGAGAGTTGAGGAAATGCTGTCACAACCCATACAAGGACAGGGACAGCCCTAAATAAGAAGATGATCTAGAGCCTGAAATGTCCTAGGAAAGGCTTTCTTAAGAAGAAAGATGGGCAAAAGATGTGATCAAGAAGCCTATATGAATCCTCTCCCACCTGCAGCCTATCTCATATTTCTTTGCAGGGCTCAGATAATCAAGAAACAATGTCGAGTGACAATAAAAATAAGTCTAGTGAGCCTAAAAATGAGCCCAGGAACTGCGATCCCAGGTGTGAACAAAGGTGTGAGGCCAAATGCCAGCCCAGCTGTTTGAAGAAGCTCCTGCAACGCTGCGCTGAGAAGTGCCCACGGGACAAGTGCCCGCCACCGTGCCCCCCACCATGCCCACCATGCCCATGCCCCCCACCATGCCCCCCACCGTGTCCCCCATGCCCAATACCCTGCCCTCCCAAGCCCTGCACCAAACCTTGTCCTCCGAAGTGCCCACCTCCCTGTCCACCTCCCTGTCCACCTCCGTGTCCACCTCCGTGTCCGCCCTGCCCGCCTCCCTGCCCACCGTGAGGCACTGTGGGCACCACGCAAGCCCTCCACCGCCGCCAGCTCCACCATGTGCAACACCCTGGGGCTGAGAACTGAGACCATGAACTGACAAGTAAACGTGTTCCTTTGCTGTGCAAGACATCCGGTGTTTCGGTGGCTTTTGGTTTATTGTCTTGTTTTCCAGCACGAAACCATCTATAGACAATCCCCAGGAAGTGAGACCAGAACCCTTCCCTATCCATGACTTTAAGGACTGGCTTTCCCTCTGACTCCTCCTGCTGCTTAGAGGGGTGGGGGCTGTCTTCTGAACCGTGTCCCCAGGAAACGCAGGCCTTGCTAGAGCAAAGCTGGAGAGATCCGTAAATATGGCTACAGCTGTTCAAAGTGTCCAACCCCAGGAAGCGGGAGGGAGAGGGTACGAGAGGAAGAGGAGGGGACATTGTGGAGAGAGTCCACATTAATTCACAAAAGGGAATTTATCAGTTCATATTGCTGAGAAGGATATTGGGGCGGGGAAGAGAATTAAAGAGAGAACAGTAGGAACCTGAAAGTGTGGGCCTGCCCCCACTATCTCAGTGTCCCTCCTCTCTGCCAGCCTCCACTACCCCTCGAGCTGTGTGTCCCTTCCTCTCCTAGTGCCCCTTTGATGTGCAAAGGTCCTTGGCCAGCTATACACTCAGTTTGTTGACAGTTTGGGCAGAAGGACACTTCTGTTATCTCCAGGAAAGGAACCCAACTGCCTAGATGGTCATGAGCCCACCCCAGTGGCCAAGCAGATGACAGAGCCTTGTCACATAGACAAAACCAGTCATGAGTTATTATAGTCCACAGCACCCAATGGGAAACAGGGCCAGGAGTCTCTGCTGTCACAGTAAGAGGTCCTGAAGGAGGCCAAGTCCGGGAGGGCTCCCTATGGGATCATGGCACATAACCAGCTTTCCGTCCTTCTGAGCCTGGGAGCAGGACAGCAAAGAGGGAGGCAAGTCCTGACAGTCCAAAATGTGCCAACAAAAGACACCTGGGACCCCCGCCATACTGAGGTCACATCATCGCTAATGCAGAAGCAGACTCTTAGAATAAGAACACAGGAGCTAGGCAAGGCCTTTAAGGTGCCACCCCTTGTTTCCCAGACGTGACATGAGGAAGCTTTGGGGACTCAGGGTCTCCTGGCAGGGATGGGAGCTGGGCACTGAGGTTCTCATAGTCTAGACTCTGGCAAACCGGTGGCCGCTGAACAGTGGTGTATTTCACTGGGGACTGTGGCCAACAATTTAAATATCTAGAAAGACTTGACTAAATGAGCTTGAACCTATTACTTGTTGAAACATTATGCAGTCATTAAAATGAATTAAAGAGGATAAAAGTAAGGCCCCAATTGAACATACAGCAAAAAGCAATCATCTTTAACCAAAAGCTTCCATGAATAATAACGATAATCATAAGAGAAAGAAATCTGTGGACATTTCTGTTATTTCAGGACAATGGGGTTATGGGTAACCAGTAAAGTATTTTTATTTTCACTGGCTTCTGGAATTTCATTAATGTGCTTTCCATTGTTTTATAATAGGGTAAAAAAGAAATAATCATGAGGTAATAATTCATGAAATAATAATGAATACTTCAGAGATACCCAAAGTATTTTCTTTTACTCAATGTACCAAAAAAAAAGGAAGTTGTAGGGATCTCGCCTCATGTAGAGGGGACCTCACCCCAGTGCCTTCCGTCAAGGCGTAGGGGCTCAGCCCAGGCCAAGTGGCTCCATGGGAGTGTGAGTCAGGGGCTGTGCCTCCAGGCGGCTCTGAGAACTCTGGGCACAGACTGGGAAGAGGCCAGCTCTGAGAACACGAAACCATCCATTGCCAATTTAATTCTCCTTTCTCCCCTGTAAATGAAACCAAAGATAGACATCTCTTAATGGCTACTTTCCCAGCAAAGAGCTGGATCAAAGGCAATCCTGGGAGATGGCTAGAATGTGATGATGGCTCCATTTCCGTGAAGAACGCCATAATTACCGCCAGCCCCCACGGCAGTCACGGGGCTCTGCCCCACACGGTAGAGGGTTGTATAAATAAGCAGCACCTGAAGTCTGGCATCACGAGCACCTGTGCAGCGCCAGGCTCGATGGCTCCCAGATAAGGAGATGGAGCAGTGCCAGGGCTTCTCCTCTCATGGCAAAGCAGCTCTGAGAGGTAACGAAAGGAGCCTCTGTCACAGACACTCTTGCCTTGTGCCTTCTCCAGAAAGTACAGCTGGCCTTGGAAAGCGGCTTCTATGCAGTCCCAAAGCAGGCCCGGGGGTGCAGGGGGGTGACTGGCCAAGGGGTGGGCCAGTGCCACGAGAGAGAGGGCTGGACACAGAATCATGGAGCATCTGGCTTTGAGGCTGGAGGGAGGGAACCTCTGAGATCACTTTCTGGCATCCCCCACCTCTACGTGTGAATGACAACCGGGAGATGGCAGGAAGTAACCGGCCACCAAACCTGCCCTATTTTTCCAGTGCTGCTTCCACGTGCCCGCATGTTGAACACGCGCACAGTCACATTCTGCAAGGCTTTATTGATGCTAAGTCATATCAGCTTCTATGTCACAGCTGTTGATGTCAGCAAATAAACAGATCAGTAAATACATTAAGTCATTTGCCAACCACATAAAGACTCTGAGATACAAACTGATCGTAAAATGCATACCAGGATATTTTCAGCTGCAGCTGTCTTCCAGGTGTGTGAAACCTCAGATGTCTCATCTCTAGGGCTATGTGCACTCTCCCAGCCTCGAACGAAAGTCTGCTCGGGCCCAGAAGTCCTCGCTTTTCCCACCAGAAATGCCCTCATCCTCTCTCCCCTAGACCACTCAACCCTCCTAACTGGCATTTGAAGTTCATCTTACTCCAGTCCTCATTCCAGTGGAAGATGGCCAAGACAGTCTTGCTAAAACTCGAATTTATACATGGCACTCTTGCTTTAAACCCTTAAGAGTCTCCCCTTTGCCTAGAGAGCAGCTCAAATGACAACCTGCTGTACGAAAGTCTTCAAGATCTGCTCCCTGCCTCCTTCCCTAGCCTATTGTGTCATTTCTCCACCTCCTTCTAGAACTCTGCAGCCCAGGAACAGGTAACTGCTGGCATTTCCGGGCACTCAGCAGAGTGTCTCCACTTTTCGTGACTTTACACTCACTTCTCTATCATTCTTCCCTCCTCCCCTGAATGCTCCTCTGAGCCACCCACCTGGGCAAAATCCGCACCCTTTAACTCAACTCAGGGGTCACCTGCTCCAAGGATCCTCCCCCCTCCCCACCACATGCTGGTTAGATGCCCCTTTCTGTAGTCTCAGAGTATCATGCCTTCCTCTCCTGTGACACTTACCAGGCCATATTCTGGTCATTTGTTTATAATCTGACTCTCCCACTAGCCTGTAAGCTCTTTGAGAAGGGACAGCCAGGCACACACAGCAGGTATTCAATAATAATAAATGAGTGGATGCTCAGTGGCTTTGGTGGCATTGTTCCAAAGAGGAGGGGGCTGCTCTGGGCTGCACCCCATCCGTTGTGCTCCTTAACCTCATGGAATGGAGTCATCCCCAGAATGCAGCAGTGGACAGTGGGGAAGGGGGCTCAAAAGGGTGGCCTGGGGCTGAGAGAAGGTGGCCCTGGCCCTGCTCACAGTCCTGTCCTTGGCCACTTTCCCCCTTGGCCACAAGATGCAGATCCTGCCAGCCGTCCTTCTCACCAGGGCGACGCAGCCTCCTCAGAGCAGGTCTCTCGCCTTGGAGGCAGCGTGGGAAAGGCAAATGGTTGGACACCACACAGACCGGGGTTCAAAGTCAGCTCCGCACCAACCGGCTGCAAAGCCCGGCAAGTTGTTTCACCTCAGTGGGAGAAGGGGTCTGTCTCGGTGTCTTCACCCCAAGGATGAGAAGGAAAGTGTCACTAAGGGATGAGAGTGGGGTGATGAAGTGAGATAATTTGTGCCAAGCCCTTGGCATGAGAAACTGAACTTAGAAATCCAAGATGCCAATAAACCCCAGCACCTAGGTCCACACCCGTCATGACCCATCGCCTTCTACAGCAAGTCTTGCCATCTGCCGTGAGAAATAGTGGATTTGAGGGAGAAAAGGGGAGTCCCAGGAAAAGATGACAAATACCTCTGAAGCAGGTAGAGTTGGCCATCCATCCGCTCCATCCCATTCCCAAGGTGGGCCCACAGCAGGAACCAGAACGAGACCGTGTCACTGACTATCGGAGCTGCATGTGGCGTTAGTGTCTAGGCAAGGAAACTATGGTCCGGAGAGGAAAACAAGTGAAATCACAGTGAGCTGGTTGATAGAAGAGTCTCAGCTTTCTAATGCTGATTTAGGCCAAGACGAGCCAGAATTCAGACCCTAAAGGAAAGCCCTGGCTTGAGTACTTTGGTTACTTCACGTAACCAAAATGTTTATACCCCCATAATATTCTGAATTTAAAAAAAAAAAAGAAAAGAGAAGAAGTCAAAGACCAACAGCAAACCTAAACAATTTGGGAACATCGTTTCTCCCAGTGTCTGTGTTAGTGGCCTTTAACCTGGAGTCCCTGAACCCCCTGAGGAGGAAGGCATGTACATATGTGTATTTCATTATGTCCCCAAAGCTGCTAAGAATCGCTAGCTGGTCTACGTCTTTGTTGTCTTCCTAAAGCTTTTAAAGAATCCCCAATACAGTGGTCTCCTAAATGTTTTTCACATGGACCATTGCCCAGACCAGACACGGGTTCACCACGTAACAAGGACCTTAACATTTTTGCTCCTCAGTTTCCTTGTCTAAAGTAATGCAGCCAATAAATAGTTCTGTGTCTCCTGTGTAAAGCACGTGCTGAGGCTAAAACGAGGAGGTGGAATCAGGTGGCCTCTCAGATCCCTTCTGGCCCCAGGGGCTCGTGAACCACAGCCTCTCCCTGAATCTGCACCCTGATTCAGACTCCCTGTGTGCATGACGTGGGGGAAGGGAAGGGAGAGGTGTGGCGGGCTCTCCCCCAGGAATCCGCCAGCTCTCCAGAGGCACCTGCTCCCCAGCAAACGGGACAAGCCACATTCTGCACCATTCAGCTTTATCGGAGCCATTGCCCTGTAATATGCAGATGAGTGAATCAGAGGAGTCTAGGAACATTTATGATCTGAACAAAGGAGATAGTTGTTTGATGAGAATGGGGGAAAAATATGTCCTGCACACAACTGAGTCTCTTCTGCTGACCCTAATTATGCCCTGGCTCCCAGTAATGACAGCTCCAGAAGTCTAAAATCTTAAATCTCAAATGGCATTCAATCAGATTAGCCCCGATCTCGCTGGAGGGCTGGGAATGGTCAGAGGACCTACTCAGTCGTCTTATCTTAAGATTTGGGGTGGGACAATCGTCCCAAAGCTGTCTAAGCCATGGCCCCAGATACTGGACCACTAAAGTTGATTTTTGAGGGTTCAGACTTCAAATGCTCCCACTTTGCACCCAGGAAAAGACGAGCCTCCTAAAGTCACTCAGCCTCCTGGCTGGGCCACTGCCATATGCAGAGGACAGAAGACTGGGTATTCCTGTGGGCACATTATAACCTAATCAAGGAGTAAATGCCCACACACACATGCGTCCTCACACTACCAAGTCACGTAGATACCCAGGCTCATCATGCCTGATCACATTTATAGTATCACAGAATGTCACAGCTGGACTTTAACTGACTGAAAGTCTAACTTTCCTATTTTAAAGATGATGAAGCCGAGGCCAGAAAGGGTCAGGGATTTGCCTGAAGTCACACGTCTCGTTAGAGACAGAGCCAGGCACCCCTGGGCCTCCGTGCGGAACATTGTGCATCACAGAAGGCAGAAAAGCACAAGTCAGAGACCAAGGGGGACAGAGCAAAGAACATAAAACAAGGAGAACTGAAGAAGAATCAAGGAAGCCTTCATGGAGGAGGTGAGTCACAAACTGATCTAGTTTGCACTAATATTCCCTAAGTAGCTTGATGGCCCTGAGTATAGGAAGATACATTCTCTAATTTATTCCTCACAAGAAATCTGTGAAATAGTATTCTCCCTCCCCAAAAAGAGGAAATTGAGGCAGTGAGAGGCTAAGTCATGTATCCAATGTTGTACATTCTCTCTGTCTGCAGTCCCCAACCCCGACCCACCCATGGGCCGATCCAGTCCCAGTGTGTTAGGGACTGGGCTGCAGAGCTCTCCCCTCCCGCACCCCCGTGGAAAAATTGTCTTCCATGAAACTTAGGAACAGGGGGCACACAGCAGGAGGAGGCCGGCAGGCAATTGAGTGAAGTTTCATCTGTCTTTACAGCTGCTCCCTATCACTCACTCGCATCACTGCCTGAGCTCCTCCCAACCCCATTCGTGGAAAAATTATTTTCCATGAAACCAGTCCCTGGTGCCAAAAAGGTTGGGGACCACTGCTCTATGTGACAGTCAACCCCAGGTGGATGGGATCCTGAGTTCAGTTCTTTTCCCAGGCATCTCAGTGCCTCTTTTACCAAGAGCTGGGCTCCGACTGAGGGTGCTGACATGACAAGTAGGAATGTATTAAACTTAAACGAGGGACGGCTGAGATTTCACTTCTCCATCGGGGACTCCCCTCCTCCAGGGTCCCCAAGAGCTTCAGACACTGGGAAGGTGTATTCGTTTTCTACTGCTACTGTAACAAGTTACCACAAATTTAATGACTTAAAACAATAAACATGTATTATAGTATAGTTCTGGAGGTCAGCAATCTGACATGGGTCTCACTGGACTGAAAGTACCAGCAAGGCTCCATCTGTTTCTGGAGGCTCTGTGGGAAAAGCTGATTCTATGCCTTTCCCAGCTTCTAGAAGTTTCCCTCCTTGCTGGCTCAGGGTCTCCTTCCATATTCAAAGCCAGCAATGGCCAGTCAAGTATCTCTCATATCACATCACTCTGACACTGACTCTGCTTCTCCCCTTTTAAAAAGCCCTGTGATTACATTGGTCCCACCTGAATCATCTAGGATCATCTCCCTATTTTAAGGTCATCTGATTAGTAGTTTTGATTCCATGCACTACTTTCATTTGCTTTTGCCTAGTAACCTAACATACTCACAAATTCTATGGATTAGGTTGTGGACCTCTTTGGGAGGCCATTATCCTGCCTATCACAGGAGGACTTTGAGGTCAATTTCAAGAATGCTCCACTGTCATGAATTAACTCAATGATGGGCAGGGAGTCCTTTGAGAGGAATCAAAGTCTGGGCTGTCCTAACTGGGCTCACCCGCTCTGTGAAAACATGATTTGTTCTCCCCATTGTTCTGCATGTCCTTATTTAGTCTCCTTGTCCTTGGGCTTAATCAAAGCCACAGAAATGCATGTGGCATGAGCAAGGTCACCTCTTGCATTCTGCTGCAGGAAACTTCTGGAAATCTCAACCAAGCAGGTCTCCTCCCCCAATCTCTTACCTTTTCCATTCCTAAGTCAGCCTCAGTCCATCCTTTCATCTCACTTGGATCTCTGTATTTTGTCTCACTTGGATCTCTGTATTTCAGCAGCCTCTTTGCAAGGATTCCTTCCTCAAGGCCTCCTGGAATGCCCCTGCCCTCTTGGCCTGAGTAATCCCCACTGTCCAGTAAGTCATAGCACAGACACCTCCTCCCCCAGGAGTCTTCCACAACCTTCCACCCAAGACCAGTGAGGGGGCCTCCTTCTGGGGCATGGGGGCTTGCTGGCCCCCATCTTCTCTGTGAGACCATGAGCCACTGTACAAGGGAGAGAGCCTGACACCACATGGGGGCCATGAATGCCTGAAAGAATAAATTAATAAACTTAGTGATGGCAAATTCCTGCCTCCTAGGGACATATGAGTATTGCTTTGTCTCTTAAATAGCATTCCACAGAAAAGAGGAAGGAGACAAGGAGGGAGAGCAGAAATGGAAAGAGGAGAAATGGAAGGAGGAGAAATGGAAGGAGGAGTAAATGGAAGGAGAAGTAAAAAGAGGATAAAAAGAAGGAACAAGAGGAGCAAACCCTCCCCATCCTGCATCCAATCACCCAGCTCCCAGACTTCCCAAATGACCTTGCCACCAGCCTCTGTCTCCTACCAGGACACCACTGGGGCCCATGCTGGGTTCACATCAGTCCTCAACACACCAGTCTTAACGGCTGAAAATGCCACCTGGTCTCCCCAGCTCACCTTTTAAAACTTTTCAGGTATCACACATCCAAAGCTACATAAACATTTGAAGGCATTTCTGATTTTAGCCACATACCTTTCTTAGGAAATGACCTAAACCTACCTCTTCAAGTTAAGGTGGAGGGGGGGAGGGAAGAATCACCACATTTAAAGTCTCTGGAATTTGGTCACTATTAGCAAACAAACACAAAGCCACCAATTAATGGACTAGGAGCTTCTTTCAATATGAATATTTTCCCATTTTCAATTAAATGAGATCTCCCTCTATTCTCAGCTATCTCCCATATCCACCCTCTTCATCCCTTCATTAGTGCATCTAGTCCACCAATAATCATTTATCTGCTATCATCTTGCACTTACTATATCTACGGCATAGCCCCTACCCTCTAGGAACTTACAGCCCAGGAGAATAATAAGGTCTTGTACATAAATAACTGGAAGTCCTAATAGCAACAGTAAATGTCATATAAATAGCACAAACAATAGATACCACTGGAGTTCATAAACAAGTGGATTCATTTCTGGTTTAGAATAACCAGGAAAGGCTCTCAGAAGGTGGTGGACTTGAAGAATGCTTAGGATTTCAACAGGCACAGGATGGGCACACCAGGTAAAAGTGACAGCCCAAACTAAGCTGGAGAGGTAAAGAAAACTAGGGTGTGTTTGCTTTGAAACTTTTCCTTTCATCCCTGGCTTTTATTGAGTCCTAAGAAAATATTTTCTAGAAGGCAAGGAGACAGGTTAACTTTGTTCCTGCCTGTTCGTGGTCACTGTGGAAACTCTGAGGAACTCCACATTCAGAAGGCTGTCATAACCAAGGCTGACAAGGTGAGGATTGCCTGCCTTCTCCCTCCTCTCACTTCCCCTCCACCTCACTTCATTACCCAAGAGTGGCAAACGACTCCAACTTCCCTCAAGACCACCATGCAGGAAAATCACTCTCCCCAGGAGGCTGAAGGCCTTGGTCTGCTTGGGACCACAGCATGAGCCATCTTCCTTTGTGTCTGGAAGTGTGTGACCTTCCAGGCTCCAGGAAGAGGCATCCAGTGGAAATGTCTGAAACAGGCCATCCAAGCCTTGACCCAGACAGACCCCAGGCCTCAGGCAGAAAGTCTTCCCACTGGCAAAGACAAGGTGAGCACAGTAGATATTATCTCTCTCCACATCCTGAACCAGTTTGGGCAGACAAGGAGCCCCAACCATGGTTTAACAGACTGAGATAACATTTTATGAACATTCCCTTCCTGCTGCCTCTGATGAGAGAGATTTGAGAAGAGCCCCTCCCTGCTGAGGTCTGGTGAAGACCCAGAGCCCGAAGTGCAGTCTGATTAACAGGCATCCCAAGCAGTGACTCAAACCATCGGCAATTTTAGAGGAAGCTCGTTATGGTGACTCCACAATTAGGACCTCGGCCCACGTGGCCAGTCAGTCCTGTGGGAGGCTGGACCAAGCACTATATAAAAGTCCCCACCTCGCTGGGCTCCGCAATCCACGTCCTTTGCCGAGTGTTGTTGAAGATCAGGTAAGTGGGAACATCTGTGCCTGCCCTCCCTGTTGCTCTGTCTTTAGGAGGCCACTGTCCTGTTCCTCCCAGGACTGTACTTTCTACTGATTTTCAAGTGGTTTTCCATTTCTTGGGCCTCTGAAACTATCCTGTGCACTCTACCTAGTCTCTTGCACCTGATTTTCAAAAGGATTAGTCAAACAGATGAGAAGCAGAAGACCTATGTTAGGACTCGTGTTTGGGGCTATGGCTATGCAGACAAAGGCCATGAGAACGTCCCCACCTAGGAGACAGGTGTCAGAGGGAGCCACGGTAGGGATGGAAAACAGAAAGGAATAAAAAGCAGCTGTGATATGAGTTCTTAGATTCTAATAATCACTCACTCCTCCTTCCCCTCTCTCAACCCGTCATCCTCCACTTCCCAGCCTGGCGATTTTAATGTAGATAATTTCAAATCTTGTGCTTGTTTCAGATTCTGCAAATCATCCCAGGATGTCCTTTAGTGAGCAGCAGTGCAAGCAGCCATGCGTGCCCCCTCCATGCCTTCAAAAGGCCCAAGAGCAGTGCCAGGCGAAGGCTGAGGAGCTGTGCCTCCCCACGTGCCAGGACCCCTGCCAGGAGAAGGGCCCGGTGCAAGCTCAGGAGGTGTGTCTTCCTCAGTGCCAGGAGCTAAGCCAAGAAAACTGCCCACAGCAAAGCCAAGACCCTTGCCTACCTCAGTGCCAAGACCAATGTCCGCCTCAGCACGTAGAGCCATGCCAGGAGCCCTTCCAGACGAAATGTGTGGAGGCTTGCCCACAGAAGGTCCAGGAGAAGTGCTCACCCCCTGGCAAGGGAAAGTAGCTGCTCGTGTGCCGTCTGGGGTCAAGAAGACGGCCAACAGATGACACCCCAACCCCAGCCCACGCTCTGGTGACCTTCCTCTGCTGGTAGCTCTGTATGCAATGCACCTTCTTGCCTCCTGGCTGTCTCAGTATTCCAGGACTTGGTCTGTGTCTCTAAAGACAGTTCTCCCTGTTTGTCACCCACCTCTGTGAGGAAGAGTTGTTCTCAGCAGTCTGACGGAAGATCTTAAATGTAGGAATGGTGTGATTGCCAGGGGAGACAACAGGAGCCCAGCGCAGCTGCCTTGGGACAAAAACTCCCCCAGGCCTGAGTGTGTAACAGCCGAGGATGCCTTCATTCACCTTTCAGAGTGTCAGGCTCTCATTCAAGCCTCAAAACAAACTGAATTTCTATGGACTTTCCACCTGTCACCACCACCACCACCGGCATTGAGAAGAGGTGGTGGTATTGCAAAAGTCAAAAATTGGGTCATTTCGTCTCTGCATCCTAAAAAGAACAGCAAATGGTTAGACATTGAAATGTTCATTGTGCCTTTAGAAAATGAACCAAAAGTATGTAAATGATTGAATCTAAACGACCAATAAGATGAGACGACCAATAAGACCAATAAGATCTAAATGACCAAAGATGAGATGGATGTTGGGGTCCTTGTTAATCTTTGTGCTTGATAGCTGGCCTGCTGCGGGCCCTTAGTTTTCACCGTGTATGTTCTTTAGAGACGTGACCTGTGTCTGTGCGATCCAGGCTGGTCTGTTCTCCAGCTTTCTTGCCTTCTTCTCCCTGGTGAAGATAAAATACATAATAAAGCTGATCCTAAGGCAAATATCTGACTTGACGGGTGCTCTTTTCTCCTCACCATCCAACCGCCTGCTGTCCTTGTGACAACTGTCTTCTCCTTTTCGGGGGGAGGGGTGGGCAGGAGGACATAGAGCAGGAATGAAACACAGACCTCACAGGTGCATAGAACAGCAAGGCTGAAAGAGGCCTCCTGAAGGTCACGGGACCACCCCACCCACAAGGTATCACAGGTTCGCCGTGCACAACACTTGACATGGCAGAAAACCCAGGGGCTGGGACCTGCACACACTCAACACTTCAGGTCCAAGGTTCTTTCCACCACAGCCGCCTTCCTTGCTTTCCCGAGGAAAGGGCTGGAATGGGGAGGAGGGGAGTTGTGTGGAAGAGGGATCCCAAATCAACCCATGACGGCTACAAGTGTAGCATCTGTGTCAGAAGGAAGAACTAAGTATGTCTCTGAGATGGACACAGACTCCAGGACCAAATCTGTCTGTCTTGCCATCTGGCCTGGAGTCAGGAAAGCCAGGTAGCCTGGGTAGCAGCCAGCACCCTGCTGTCCCTCCCCCCATGAACGAAACACAGGCTGTGGCCTCTGGGTGCCATGAAAGGACTGGAGAAGCACAGGAATGACACGCAAGAGCCAACTTCCTCGGCAGTCCCTGACGTCTGGCCTGAGCCCAGAGGAAGCTGTGCCAAGGATCAGCCTCCGGAGGGGGCAGGGGGCTCCTTGCCCATTGCCCTGGTCCCCTCCCTCCTCAGTGTGTGTGAGGAGGAGGATGGCCAGGACAGCCCCTCCCTGAAGGCCGTATAGAGCCCTAAGTCTTAGCTGTTGGGCTGAAATGAGGGTCTTCCCCCACTAGGATTGCCCCAACCTCTCAATCTTAGAGATTTTCTAAGGTGAGAGAGAACTGAGGGATGACTTGGGGGGATATTTCAAGAAGCAGCCTGGAGCCATCGCACACTCACTGAGTCTGCAGGTGGCATGGGCCCAGCCCTGAGCTGCACGCACATTCTCTAAGGGGGTACTGACAGCAGCCTCAGGGAGCTGTTGCCCCTTTGTTTAGGAACTTGTCTGGCCTCATAAAGCCAGTAAGCAGCAAAGCCGGGATTCTAACCCAAGTCCCTCTGACTCCAGAACTGAGCTCTTTCTTGCATAACCAAAGTGCCGTGGCACACTGAAGAGATTTCCAGAAGCTGTTTTCTCATTCATTCATTCATCATCTCTAACAAATGCTCTCTGATCTCCTACCAGGTGCCAGGCACCACACCAGGTGAACCAGGAAGTATTGTCCCTGCACAGAGCCAGGAGCTGTCTTTTCTGCAGGTTACATGCACCACAGGCAACTTTGAAAATCTCCTGAATGGCTCAAGTCCCTGAACATCTCCATATGCCTGAATTACCATTCTCTTGCCTCCCTGCCTGGTTGAAATAAGTTTTCTCATTCTTTTTCCAATCTTGGAATAAACCAGCTGCTCCCCAGGGACCAGCTACTCCCCAGAGCCCCAGCTGCTCCCCAGGGACCAGCTGCTCCCCAGAGCCCCAGCCTGTAGAGAGGCCTTCCTGTCAGTGAAACTTCTGATTGGGCTGAGGGCAACTCACAGACCTGTCTCCAGCTTGGCTCCAGCCCAGGAAATGTCTTTGTTCTCCAGCACCAAAGATATGCACAGATTGGAGTCCAAGATCAGACACTCAGGTGCTGAGAAGAAGCACGAGATGAATGAGCAGGGACAGCCAGGGGTACCAGAGAGAGGAACAACGCACCGATTACAGGGCAGGCCTCGGCAGACTGGAAGGGGACAAGCTTGCAGAGCGCAGATAAGGGAGCAGCCATCCAGCAGTGAGCAGGCTCTCTTCTAGCACATCTCCTCCCGTCTAGAGGAGAAAATAGCTGAGGGAGCAGGACAGCTGTCCGCAAATATTTTGAGTGCCTTGATGAGGGAGGGATGAGATTTCTGTGAAGTACCAAAGGACAGAGTTGCAACCCACAGGCAGAACTTATGCATTTTGGTTCAGTTTAAGAAATTTCTTATAACAAAATCTGTTGGATGGTGGCAGGAGCTTCCTCTGGATGTGTTGTGTCCCGTGAATTAGAGGTAGGTGTGCAAGTGAGGAGGTGACAACCAGCTCCTCCCAACCCATCCAACTCCTGGGCAGAAGTGGGCCCGGGGACAAGCAGCCTCCCAGGGAAAGGAGATTCAGAAGACCTGACCTGTAGGTCAGGAGACAGGAAGTTCCATTGGCTTCTAGAACACTCCTGAAAGGTTCTTTGGGTGGCCCAGACTCCTGGAGACCAGCAGAGCATGACCACAGCTTGAAATAAAGGAAAGGAGGAGGACAAGTGAGTGATGGGAGGTGGCTCCCCTAGATATGAAGTTTTCTTAGTGTGTTTTTGAAGCCCACAAAGGCCTCAGCCTTGAGTAGCACCTTATAGCCATTCCTCACTGCCCTCCAATCCCATTTTCCCAGCTGGGGTCTAGCCTCTCTCCCCTTTATTCCTCCTTTCTTTCCATCTATACCTCCTTTCCTCTCCTACACTCAAATGATCCAACTGCTCTTCCACCCCACAACCCATTGCAGCCTCCTTTCTGCCTGCACCTGCCTGTCTCCAACCCAGGATTCTCCCGTTTATGCTTGTGAACCCACGGGTTACAAACTGGCCTCCTCCGGGAAGCCCTCCATGATGTCAAGCCCATTTCCTAAGTACCGCAGTGTGGGCTCGGGTGCTGCACTGTCCAAACAGCACTGCACTGATCCTGAGGATCTGTGGCCTTCTTACAGCTGACTGTGTGTGAATGACATGTGTCTCCTGTTAGCATGAGAGCCTCAGATGACAGCTTCTGGGCCTTGCCACGTTCTTGCCTGGTTTCACAGGCCCGCCACACTGAGGTCTGAGACACCTCACAGTCAGCCAACCAGCATGCCCCAGAGGCAGGGACAAAGGAGGGTGCTGGCCTCCAGAGTCACCCAGAAGGCCTCTTCTATTGACATGGTGACCAGTTCATCTTGGTTTGACTAGGACTGAAAGTCCTGAATTCTGGGAACCCCCTCAGTCCCACATAAACGTGGATGGTTGGTTGCCCTAACCAAGCACCTACAGGTACAAGACATGCTGCTTGGTGCTGGAGGAATTTACAGACTGTTCTGGAAAACTGTAAGCCACTGCTTACAGTTTACAGAAAACTTAGTGTCCACTGCCCGCCCCTCCGTACCCCCATTCTCCATGGTGTGTGTGTATGTGTTAGACAGGGGATACTAGATCAACAGTGGGGTGCCCAGGCTAGTCCTGTAGAAACGTGAACTGGCAGGTCCCGACCCAGACAGTAGCATAGTGGGGGACATCCCTCTGCACCTGGCTCCGCTGCCATCATTGACCGCAGGACACCTGGGCCCACGGGCTGCAGGTCTGGACTCGCCCACTCCTGCTCTTCCTTCTCTCCCACAGACACTGCCTCACACCCGGAGATGGCTGGAAGGCGAGGCGGCAGGCTGGCAGGGAGCTTCTCAGATCAAGCTGCACACCTCCCCCATTCCCAGCCGGTCTCACAACCAGCCTACCCTCCTCAGGAAGCCCCTGGGGACTCCTTTTCTCTTCCCAACAGCACCACCTACCGGCCTTCTGCAGACCATGCCCAGGCTAGCCTGTGTCAGAGAGCCGCGCACATTGCGGCCCCGACAACGCTCAGTGGGGTGGGGGCAAGGCCGCAGAGATGCAGCATCTAACGCTGTAAGGAGGAAGGCTATATGCGCAAGGCAAAGTTAAAGTACTCATGGGGTGGGAGCAATACACACGACGGATGGTTCCAGACATAGGCTCACTCAGGATTCACACTGCCAAGGTTCAAATCTACACTCTACCACTTCTACTCTTTCCTTAAAAAGACTGACTCAGAGACTTCCACTTGCCAAAGCCTGTTCCAAGCACTGAAGATATAGTGGAGAACCAGATACACAGAGTCCCTGCCTTCCCAGAGCTCACGTGATGGACGAAGACAGACAAAAAGCAACTCAGTAAATGCATAAATAAATAAGTGAGGCTGGGCGCGGTGGCTCACGCCTGTAATCCTAGCACTCTGGGAGGCCGAGGCGGGCGAATTGCTCCAGGTCAGGAGTTCGAGACCAGCCTGAGCAAGATTGAGACCCCGTCTCTACTATAAATAGAAAGAAATTAATTGGCCAACTAATATATATAGAAAAAATTAGCCAGGCATGGTGGCACATGCCTGTAGTCCCAGCTACTCAGGAGGCTGAGGCAGGAGGATTGCTTGAGCCCAGGAGTTTGAGGTTGCTGTGAGCTAGGTTGACGCCACGGCACTCACTCTAGCCTGGGCAACAAAGCGAGACTCTGTCTCAAAAAAAATAAAAATAAAAAATAAAAAAGTGAAGAAAATAAAGCAGGGTGACGAGAGAGTGGCAGTGGAGGGGGGATGCTCGTTAGCTTGGGTAGGCTGGAAAGGCCTGAGAAGGGGCTGTCCAAGTGGGAATGAACTATAGGACAGAGCCAGCCACGTGGGATCAGGGTGAGGGTTAGTACCAAGAGAACAGTAATTTTAATGGAAGTTGCAGCTCAGATTGCCTGTGGTGCCTCATTTCAGACCCTGCATTTGAAGGTGAAGGCTGACCGACTTTGAGTCCCTCCAAATGAATGTGAGGCACCTTGTGGTGTCAGCCATGGCTAAAGGGTGGAGGTGTTTCATCCCGAGATACGAAGACTTAGGGGTACGCAATGGCTGTCTTTAGACCTTTCAAATGCCAAAGAGAGAGGCAGTGGATTTATTCCTTGTGGTCCCAAAAGGTCTTCCATGGACCAATGAGTTCAGGGCACAGAAAAGCAGACTTCTGCTCATATCGGGAATAAAACAGCCCAGCAAATGAATCGGGCTGCTCACACAGTAGTGAGTTCACCATAACTGAAAGTATGCAATCAGAGGCCAAATGACTAGCTGAGAAGTTTATGAGGAATTAGGACTAGATTTGTTTTAAACTCTTGTAAGTCCAACCTACACTTGCATTTGAATTGCTTGCAGGTTAGCACAAGGCTTTGTTTCTCTCTGAAGGCAGTGAACCAGCCTTTGTAAGCCTGTGGCAGAAGGAACATCTGCCTCAGGACCCCAGGTCAGGAACATCACAACAGGGCAGGAGAAAACTGAGCCAGCCATGTGGGATCGGGGTGAGCGTTAGCACGGAGCGAACAGCAACTTTGAGGGAGGTCGCAGGTCAGATTGGCTCTGGTGTCTCTGGGTACAGAACAAGCGTCTGCCTCACTCAGGGCAGACCCTGCAAAGGTGGAAAGGGAAGGTCCTTACCTCTGCATCTGTTCCCCACTCCCTCTGCCCTGCAAAGCGCCAGCAGACAGAACTTCCTCCCCACACCGTGGTCTGAGAAAAAAGCAGTCTAAACAAACAGAGAAGATATCTCACTCTTCCCAAGTCTCAAAAGTGTTCATGTTGCACAACTTGGCAATAAAAATATTTCAGCCTGACCAATAAACATACAAAAAAGGTGCTCGACCTCATTCATCCAATGAGGATAAATGCAAATCAAAACCTCAGTGGAACACTACCATATACCAACTGGAGTGACTAAAATTTAAAAAGAATCACAGTGTTGGTGAGGTTGTGGAGTGCAAATTGGTACAACCACGTTGGAAAACCCTTCAGCAGCAATTACTAAAGCTGAATGTGTACATATCCAATGACTGAGCGGCTGCTCTCCTAGGCATATGCCCTGCATATGATCACCAAAAGTCAAATATTGGAATGTTGGAATATTAGTATCACTCATGATGGGCAAATATCGGAAACAACCGAAATGTCCACCGATGAATAAATCAATTGTGGTATATTCACACAATAGAATTCCACACAGCAATGTGTACGAATGATCTATAGCTGCACACAACAATATGGATGAATCTCACAAACAGAAATCAAGTGAGCAGAAAAAAAACAGATGCAGAAAAAAGCACTAGGGCGAATATATGAAATTGCCATTTATGGCAATCAGAAACTGTTCGTACGGGTCAACATGAAACATACCATATGGCTCTATTTATGACATTTATGTAAAGTACCCAAACTAGCAAAACAAATCTCTGTTGCAGAGATCAAGACAATGGCTCTGTGTGTGTTGGGTGTAGGATGGTAGCAATTAGAAAAGAGAAGGAGAGAGGCTTCTGCACCACTGATAATATTCTGTTTCTTGATCTGGGGTCTGCTTCCCAGGTTGTGTTCAGCTTGTGAAAATTCACTGAGCTGTGCACTTATGATACACGCACTTTTCTGAATGTATACTTTTAATACGGAGTTGAAAATTTCATTGGAGCTCATCGCATAATACAAATGCATTATTTAGAGACAATAAATGTGCACTAGCATCCTAACATAATGACTTAGAAAACAAACATAAGATATAGACATTTTAAAAGATGAGAATATAAAAATAAGGAAAAAGTGCCAATTTTTCTTCCTGGTCCCGATGGATGGTTTTATGCACCCTCAGTGAGCAAGCAGCTCCCTCTAGAGGCTTTCCATGATGGAGTCCCGAGTTACTTAATGGCTGCATGACCTTAGGTAAATGTTCCAGCCTCAGCTTCTGCATTTGTGAAATTGAACTGATGATTGCTCCTCCACACCCTTCCTAGATCGCTGCCCTCAGGACCAAATGAGATATTTGATATTCATTGAAATACGAAGGGTTAATAAGATCACTACTTACTATTTTTTTTTTATTTCGGCATATTATGGGGGTACAGATTTTAAGGTTTCAATAAATCCCCATTCCCCCCTCCCCCCACAAGTCTGAGTCTCCAGCATGACCATCCCCCAGATGGTGCACATCTCACTCATTATGTATGTATATACCCGCCCCCCTCATCTGCCCATACCCTATTACTGTAGTACTATGTGTCCACTTAGGTGCGTGCTCAGTTAATACCAGTTTGCTGGTGAGTACATGTGGTGCTTGTTTTTTCCATTCTTGGGATACTTCACTTAGTAATATGGGTTCCAGCTCGAACCAGGAAATATAAGATGTGCCTATATCACATTGTTTCTTAGAGCTGAATAGTACTCTATGGTATACATATACCACATTTTAATTAATCCATTCTTGGATTGATGGGCACTTTGGGCTGTTTCCACAGCCTTGCATATGAATTGTGCCTGCTATAAACATTCGACGTGCAGGTGTCTCTTTTTGTGAGTGTCATTGGATCTTTTGGTAGATGCCCCAGCAATGGGATTGCTGATCAAAATGGTAGATTCACTGTATCACTTTAAGGTATCTCCATATTGCTTTCCACAGAGGTTGAACTAGTTTTGATTCCACCAGCGTGTAGGAGTGTTCCCCCTATCTCCCGCATCCATGGCACGCTCTTATTGTTTGGAGACTTTTTGATAAAGGCCATTTCTCACTGAGTTAAGTGATATCTCATTATGGTTCTTGTTTGCATTTCCCTGATGATTAGAGATGTTGACATTTTTTCATTTTTGTTGGCCATTCTCTGTCTCTTTAGAAAAGTTTCGTTCAAGTCCTTGCCTACTTTTTAATGGGTTTATTTGATTTTTCTGCTGATTTTCGTGATCTAAGTATATTTCTAGTTATCACCTATCGGAGTACGTAGATCAAATTTCTCCCAATTCTGTAGGTTGTCTGTTTACTTTCATGACTATTTCTTGGCTGTGCAGAAGCTTTGTAGTTTGATCATGTCCCATTTATTTATTTTGTTGCTGCTGTGATTGCTTTGGGGACTTTCTTCATAAACTCTTTGCCTAGCCTGATGTCTAGGAGAGTGTTTCCAACTTTTTTTCGCTCTAGAATCTAATAGTTTCATTACCTTAGTTTAAGTCTGTTATCCACGCGTGAGTTTGATTTTTGTGAGAGGTGAAAGGTGTGGGTCCCGCTTTTTAGCCTTCTACAGGTGGCTATCCAGTTTTTCCCCAGCCCATTTATTGAAAAGGATTCTTTTCCCCAGCACATGTTTTTGTCTGCTTTGGTCAAGAAGATTAAATGGCTATATGAGGATGGTTTTATATCAGGATTCTCAGATCTGTTCCACTGGTCAATATTTCTATTTTTGTGCCAATACCAGATTGATTTAATTACTACAGCTTTGTAGTATAGTTTGATATCTGGCATATTAATGCCTCCCATTTTGTTTTTGTTGCCTAGAATTGCTTTTGATATTCGGAGTCTTCTTTGGTTCCATACGAAGCGTAAAATTATTTTTTTTTATATCTGTGAAGAATCCTGGTGGGATTTTAATAGGTATTGCATTGAATCTGTAGATCAGTTTGGGTAGTATAGACATTTTAATGATGTTGAGTCTGCCGATCCACGAGCATGGTATGGATTTCCATCTGTTTACATCCTCTGCTATTTCCTTCCTCAGTGTTTCATAGTTCTCCTTGCAGAGGTCTTTTACCTCCTTGATTAAGTACATTCCTAGGTACTTTAATTTCTTTGTTGCTATTGTGAAGGGAATTGAGTCTTTGATTTGGTTCTCCTCTGATTTCTGTGTATTGATTTTGTATCCTGAGACTTTACTAAATTCATTTATCAGTTCCAGGAGTTTCTTGGTTGAATCTTTGGGGTTTTCTAGATATAATATCATATCATCAGCAAACAGTGAAAGTTTGATCTCTTCTGCCCCTATTTGGATACCTTTAATTCCATTTTCCTGTCTGATTGCTGTGGCCAGGACTTCCAGCACTATATTGAATAGAAGTGGAGATAGTGGGCAGCCTTGTCTGGTTCCAGTTCTAAAGGATCACTACTTACTATTAACAGAGATTTACATGCTAAAGAAGTCCATCCTCCAATGAATAGTTTGGAATTTCATTAAAAGTAGCTCAAGATTTTAGACAGAGTGCTCTCCACCACTAGAATTACAAAACTATTACAGAGATGTTGCAGAGTGATTCCAGGATTAGGCACAAGTAATAATAATAATAATAATGGCAAATACTGTGAGGCAGATATTTTCTAAGCACTTTGTGTATATTAATTACAATTATAATCATTATAACAAGAAAAAGAAGTAAGTCACATTATTATGACTATTTGATAGACAAGAAACTAGAGCTCAAAGAAATTAAGTAACTTACTCAAAATCTCACGGATAATAATTGAGATAGACAGCTGAGTTTCAAATCCAGGCAGTCTGGCTCCAGAGTCTATGTTATATTAAAACAGACACACTCTCCACATTACCTTCCAAAGCTGATACTAATATTCAAAATCTCTTTCCCTTCTGTAAAGCTCAGTCTAATATCAAGAGCAACTTCCTTCATGAATCTATTATTCAACAAGCATTTCCGAGCACCTGTTACGTGCCGATCTCCATACTGGGTATTGAGTACACAGTGGTCAACACACAAGCACGGTCCCTGCACGCAGAACACACAGTCTAGCAGAGGAGGCAACCAGTATAATAAACACGCATGAAAATAAACATAAAATGCTAGATTTTGTTACATTCGAGGAAGGAAATTTCCAGGGTATATAAAACAATGATTTAGGGAACCTAATTTAGACTAGAGGTCAGGAAAAGCTTCTTTGAGTAAATAGAAGTTTTAACTGAAAACTAGAAAGATAGTAAGAGTTGCCCAGGTGAAGAAAGGAAGAAAAAAATTATAGAGAAAACAAAATGTTTGATGGTTTTGATATGGGAAAACCCTGATGTTTGTCTCGGATGTGAAGACAGGGAGCAAGCAGGAAGGTGGCCCCAGACGGTGACAGGAGGTGTGTGGGCAGGACCCTGCAAGGCCGTGGAGGGCCCTTGAAGAACCTGGACCTTTGTCCTAAGAGTAGCATGAAGCATTAAAGAGTTTTAAGAAGAATGTCATGATTAGGTTTGCATATTTTAAATACTACTGTAGTTAAAGTGTGGAGAGTGGATGACAGCCATCAAGCAAGAAGAGCAGAGAACCACTGAGGATGACATTGCCATAGCAAAGTTTCTAGAATGATCTCTGCCTAGCAGCAGCCACCATTACCCCGTGGCAGATAGGAAGGACTGAGGGAAGTCTGGGTAAGGAGAAGACCTGGGGCTCAGTTCTCTGAGATGGTTACAGAACATCCAGGCAGAGATATAAAGTAAGCCTTTAATCTATGAGTCAGGAGCTCCAGAAAAAGTCAGGGATGGAGATCTACATCTGGGGGCCAGTGTCTCAGGTGTAGCATTTGAGATTTAGGGGTGGACGGATCCTCCAGCTACAGAATATAGATTGAGAAAAGAAGAGGACTCGAGGCCACGCCCTAGTCAACAGTTAGAGGTTGAATAGAGGAAGAGACCTTGTCAAAAGATTAAGAAGAAATAGGCTAGGATTTGAGAGAAAACTCCAGGAGAGAGTGTGCAATGATGCCGATTGCCACTGAGCGTGGGGAAGAGCTCACATGAGCGACAATGTGGAGGGGAGGTGTTGGGGGTGGAGGCGAGGTACAGCCAGGCCAGTCACTCCGTGATTGCTCAAGTGCTGAAACCACTTTCCACCCACTTCTGTACTTCTAAGGCACATTTGCTGCAGTCCTGACACAACATCAGATCCCGGTGACTAGGAATAAGTGAGCGAATGAATGATAAATGAACTGAGGACCCAAAAGCTTTGACGACTTGACCAAGGTCATCCAGCCAGTAAGTACCAATGCCAGGGCCTGAATCCAGCCCATATAATTCTGAAGCCCATATTCTTGGTCTAAAAATAAAGCTTTAACCCAGGGGAAAATATTTCTGATGATATACTCACAATCATGCTTAATATATTATTTTGAGGACTATTATACTTATCTCCAAAACTTAATCTGCTGCTTAGAATTTCGTTCAAAAATCTGGGCAGAGAATGATAGGCATCTCCTCGGATCACCTGTCCAGAAGATAATGCACCTGTGGGTGACATTTATGCTGAGTGAATGTATAATTTGGGTTACATCCTTGAGAGCCTGTCTCAGCCAGGGAGCACGTGAGCGTCGAGGACTCACTCTGCAGTACCAGCGCGGGGGCAGCCTGGTGCTCTGGAGTTGTGGGTCCGGAGTGATGGTGGTGAGGGTGACCGGGGTGGGGGGTAGCAGAGATGATGAGTTAGTTACACGACGACAGTGATGGCATGGTGCTGGGAGTGGGAGGGATCCTGAGGGAAACTTCTCTTAGATGTGAATTGGCTGGCAAAAGTGTCACTGAGCACATTAACTTTGATTTCAAAATAGCCAGAATGACAAAGCGTATCTGCAGATTACTCATTTTATTCTCATGCATTTCTTCACTCTTTCATTCAAAAACCTCCTTTGAGCAGCTGCTATATATGCCAGCCCCTCCTTTAGGTGCTGGAGATAAGGCAGTAAACCAACAGACCATAAGTGCTGTCTTTGTGGAGTTTGCACTTAGAAGACATCAAAAGCTCATTGATTCATTCACTGAGCTCTCACTGAGGACCTAAAGCCAAGCATGATGCCAGACACTGATGGGTCCCAGACCCCTAAAAATAAGGGGCTGTCTTGGGATGGGGACATCATGGCCAAATGAATATGTACCTGCATATGTGTAGGCTTGTTCACATGGATAAACATGCACCTGCCTGACCATATAGTCCACCGGACCTCAAGCAACATGTATATAATGCATAGATTTTATTAAAAGTGAAATTCAAAGACCCTGAAGGGTTTTAAGCAGATAATTAACATTTTGATTCAAAGCTTCAAAAGATTATTCCCTCCGCAAAATGGATAAAGGATAAATAATAGAGCAAGCATGGAAGAGGGAGAGGAAGGCTGTGTGACTGCAGTTATGGCTAACAACGGTAGGTGGCAGCAGTGGAGACAGAGAGAAGCGGGTGACTCTAAGTATCTGAGTATTCTGGAGAGATAACTAACAGGATTGGCAGGTGGATTTAATGTGTGGGGGAGGAAAGGGAAAGGGGGGAAGAAGGCAGAAATAACCCCAGGTTTCTGCCTTGGGCCATGTCTTAGTCCCTTTATGTTATTGTAAAAGAATATCTGAAGTGGGGTAATTTATAAAGAAAAAAGGTTTATTTGGCTCAGAGTTCTGTGAGCTGTACGAGAAGCATGGCACCAACATCTGCATATGGGGAGGGCTCAGGAAGCTGCCACTCATGGCAGAAGGTGAAGGGGAGCTGGCATGTGCAGAGATCACATGGAGAGAGAGAGAGAGAGACAGAGAGACAGAGAGAGAGAGAGAGAGAGAGAAGAGCTGCAGGCTCTTTTTAACCACCAGCTTTTGCAAGAACTAATAGAACAGGAACTCATTACCATGAGAATGGCACCAGGCCATTCATTAGGGATATGTCCCCATGGTGCAAACACCTCCCATTCGGCCCCACCTTCAACACTGGAGATCAAATTTCAACATAACATTTGGAGGGGACAAACAAATCAAACTATAGCAGACCTCTAGGTGGATGGTGGAGCATTTACAGAGAGGTGATGACTAGGAGATATGTGGATATCTGTCTGGAGCTCAGAAATATTTGGGGCAGAAACATATACATTTGAGAGTTGTCATCACATAGAACATATTTTAAGACCTGGGAGTGGCTGAGATCACCCAAGGAGAAGAGGGCTCCCCTGAGCTGGGGCCACTGTAGGATCTCAAGGATGGACAGTGGAGAAGGAACCTGTACAGCCAGCTGGCAAGGAGTGTCCAGTGAAGGAGGACAAACTAGGAGGGTGGGTCTGCAAGGACAGGGAAGAGAGGTCTCCCAGGAAGGAGAATGGGTGGAGTCAAACAGTACTCATAGGTCAAGAAATACAGTGTGGCTGGTGGCCTTGACAAAAAAGCTTGCATGGTAGCACACAGGCCAGAACAGAAAGGAGTGGGCTGAGGAGCAAAGGGGAGGTGCCAAAGTGGGGTTCCTGGATGTACCTGGATTGGTTACAGAGAGAATCCCAGATCTATCTGGGACAAAAGAGGCCTTAACGAAAGATGTCCGGCTGCCGCGTCCAGGCCTGGGCAGACTAGTGGGAAGAGGCATGGCTGAGCAGCCACTTCCCCACACCAGGAAAGTAGCCAGCACGGAAGCCCAGGCTCCCATTTATAGGGCTTCCACAGGTGGGCCTGGACGACTCACACAGATGCCACGCCCTGGTCACAAAGCAGCCCCACCTGAGCCTTTAACCCCAGAGGCTGAGTCAGGTCCAGCAGGCAAATGTACTTTAGGCCCCCGGTCAGACTCCTTATGGGCTGTACCGTGGAGTCCATCCACTCAACCCAGGCCTGCCTCTCTGCCCCCCCCACGTCCTCCCGCGAGAGGCAGCAACTCTGCCTCTTCACCCAGCAGAGCCTAACAAGCATGGGGCTTGCACACGTCACCCACTCACAGCATGTGCCTCACACACATGTGCACACACACACACAGAGTCACCACAGTGAGTCCAGACACTGGGACCACACCCCACCCCTCAGCCTTTGCCAACTGTCTGGCCAAAAGCATAGGCCACAGAGGCAGAAGGAAAATGACAGTTCTGCCCCTTGGCAATGCATGTGGCAATGCACGCTACCACTTTGGTTCCTCGCAGAGTCTTCAGTCTGAGGCCTGAGTGTCCAGAGATTTCATCTGGTGTCACGGGAAGCCCCCGTCTGATGATTCAACCCTAACCATCAGGGAACCCACAGTTTGAAGATGGAAAATAGCTAACCTCAGGGAGATCCCAGGCTGAGGAGGAAGACAGCCCTACCCCTGGATCCTCGAGAGGGAGTGGAGAGACACAGTCCTGGGCTTAAGGTCTTCCCCAGTTTGAAGGACAAGACAAAGCCCCCAGCCCCAAAAGACCCTCACGTGCTAATGTCCCCACCGCATTTGAGAATATCCGTCCTACACTCCTTCATCCTCACCCTTTCCAGACTTTGGTTTTTAAAAGATATAGTATAAAAACAAAATGATAAAAAAGAAACTAACTCATCCACGTTTAAGGGCCCTGTCCCACATATGGCAAGTGTGTTTCTCCACTCCTAAGTTGAGCACTCGCCTGTGGTGTAACCCAGGCTGGAGTTAACACTGATTCTGACACTCCAGCCCTTACATCCTTACAGCTTAAAATCCCTACCGTCAACACCCTATTTACCTTGCTTGACCCAGTTTCAAATGCAAGAATTTGGGGCTCAGAGGTGGAGCAAGGTCAAGAACTGGAGGTGGCGCCAGACTGCCCAGAATGTCATAGCCCTGGAAAAGCCCTCATCAGGCCACCCTGCTCCTGCTGCCACCCCGCCCCAGCCCTCCAGACCCCGGGCGGCACTCCTGGGCCTCATTGCCTGAGTGATGACACCACTCAGTGGAGCTGACTCATGGAAAGAGTTGCCCCAAGTACATTTGCAAGGTGTTTTTGACAGGCTGTGAGGAGGGGCCGGATGTGAGGCGGCAAGGAGGACGAGTTGATAACTATCATTACTTCTACTAGAATCTCCAGGTGACAAATCCACACCAGCGCCCAGAGCCCCAGATGTTGCTAAAGCCAAAGGTGGGTGGGTCTCATTGACTTTTCCACCTGTAGCCTCGAATAGCCTTTTCCACCCCTAGCCTTTAGTGCAGTTCAAATAGTGTAAACAGGTCACTCTGCTTAAGCTTCCCATAAGCTCAGATCGCCAGTCCCACAAGGCTGCCTCTGGGGAACAGTTCTGGGGTAAGTACCTGAGCTGGGGACATAAGGTCCATTCGGCCCCCTTATTTATGAAAGGATGGGATTGTATTAGGTGCTCTTTAAGGTCCAGTGGCCCTCAGCAGGCATCAGCAGGGACCCTGGAGGGGGAGATCACCCACAGTAGTGGAACCGACCCGGAGTATCCAAGTACAAGTTGGAGGAAGGCCCAATCTCCAGCTCCACACTAGTGGCAAATCCCTGGTATAAAGAATGCTTGACAGCTAAGCACAAACGTGAAGACTACTCATCAAACTGGCATCGATGCATTCATCTGCTCTTTCATTCAACAAATCTTTAATGGGAGCCTTCTGTGCCTGGTATTGAACCAACACCTAGATATTCAGAAAGTAATAAGACAAGGTCACTGCCCTCAAGGGCCTCAAAGCCTGCTAGGAGAGGCAGATGCAGGAACAGAAAAATTTTGAAAAATTGCAAAATGCTGAAAGAAATGTGATGTGAGAGAAATGTCTAGCTTAAAAGAAGGCCAGAAGAGGGACTGAGCAAATCTGTCCAGGTGAGGGAGGAAATAAATTCACTGAAGGTACAGTTGAGCTATTACTTAAAAGAAACAACTTGGGACCCTCTATTCAGCTTGCCCTCTAATCATGATACATACGAACCTTTGTGCTGTCAGCTTCCCCATTTATAAAATGAAGGTATTGAAGTATGTGTCCACAAAGCTTTTGTCCAGTTCAAAAAGTTCTGAATATCAAAGAATCAACTCCAAACTCAGGCATGTACCCAAAAACACAAATATAATTCAGTCTCTACAGGTCAAAATCAGCACGGACCCCAGCACTAATGGTAAACACAGTGTTTAATGTTAGGTAACACTCAAATCTCAATACAACAGCTATGACATTTCAAAGTGTTAGTAAATATGGCAAAGTTTTAGCATCCCCTTCAATATTATGCCAATAATATAACAACACTGTTAGATGAAATGTATTTATGCCTTCCTGCCTTGCAGAATTGAAAGACAGATGA